TAGTGGTTAATTGGAGATAACAGTCTCACAGACTTTCTTGCCCGGGCTGGCTTTGAACTGTGATCCTCAGATCTCAGCCTCCTGAGTAGCCACTGGTGTCCGGCTGTTTTTTTTTTTTTTTCCTGGTCAAATCAGCTATATTCTTTCCATTCTTTTCCAAGTCACCGTGTAGACTATATTAAATATAAATTTTGATAATTTTTTTTGGTCGGTTGTGGGGGTTGGCCTATGGGCCTGGGCGCTGTCCCTGAGCTCTTCAGTGCAAGGCTAGCACTCTACCACTTGAGCCACAGCTCCACTTCTGGCTTTTTCTGCTTATGTGGTGCTGAGAAATCAAACCCAGGGTTTCATGCATGCTAAGGCAAGCACTCTACCACTGAGCCACATCCCCAGCCATCCAACATGGCAGCACCAGGTATGAGAGGCCTGAAATGAGGCCAGTTTGAACTGAGATATGCTTCAAGCATAAAACACATTGGACTTTTGAAGACTTAGCATCAAAAAGTAGTTCAAGTTGGGCACAGGTGGCTCATGCCTGTAATCCTAGCTACTCAAAAGGCTGAGGTTTTAGGATCGTGGTTAGAAGCCAGACCAGGCAGGAAAGTCCATGAGACTCTATCTCCAATTTACTAGCAAAAAGCTGGAAGAGGAGCTGTGACTGAAGTGGTAGAGCACTAGCCTTAGGCACAAAAGCTCAGGGACCACACCCAGGTTCTGAGTTCTAATCTCATGGTAAGAAAGAAAGAAAGAAAGAGAGAGAGAGAGAGAAAGAGAGAAAGAGAGAGGGAGGGAGAAAGAAAGAAAGAAAATTAGTTCACTAATAATATTAAGCTAGGCTGTAGTAGTTCATGTCTGTAATCCTAGCTTCTCAGGCTAAGATCTGAGGGTTGAAGGCAGCCTAGGGAGGCAAACCAGCCAAAGGCCAGAAGTGAAGTCAATATATATATATATATAATATATATAATCAAATATATATAGATGAATTTAATTCCATTTATATGTATATGTGTATATATATGTACATACACTCTGTTCTTAGCTCTTGGGCTGTACCAATTAAAAGCAGAGAGGGGGGTGTTGGTATGCTCTGCCTCCTGACAGGAAGACATCATTGGCTGGTATCTGATAGAAGGAGGATCTAACCACCCGCCTACCTCCCCCCTCCCAGATGAAGATGGGCTGAGCTCTCCAAGGTGACTTCCAATAAAACAGCATGATCAGACTTGCATATCAGTGAAATGGCTCCAGTCCATTTCTAATTCTTTTTGGTCTGATTTCATTATCAAACAGATATTTGGAACATGATCATTTTGTAAAGTGAAAACAGATTGCCTGTGAAGACGTTTATCATCATGGGCAGGAAGGAGTGTGGCACATACCTGACATCCCAGCTACTTGAGAGGAGATTGGAAAGATCTCAGTTCAAGGCCAGCTCAAATGATAGGTTACAAGACCCTCATCTCAACCAACAAGCTTGGAATGGTGGTGCACACTGTAATCCCAGATTACGTGGAAGATAGGATGACTGCAGTCACAGGCTGGTCTCAGGCAAAAGCAGGAGATTCTACCTGAAAAATAAACTAAAGCAAAAAGACACGGAGGCATGGCTCAAATTTTAAAGAACTTCCCTAGCAAGTGCAAAGTCTTGCGTTCAATCCCCAGTACTCATGAGAGAGAGAGAGAGAGAGTATGAGAGAGAGAGGGAGAGGGAGAGGGAGAGGGGGGGAGGGAGGGAGGGAGGAAAGGAAGGAAGGAAGGAAGGAAAGGAAGGAAGGAAGATTATAATCAGATATATCCAATCTAAGCTTGTCTTGAGAATTACGTCACCCATAATACTGGTTTAAAAACACTTCTACTTAACAAATGAGTCACACTTTTGTTTTTAAAATTAGAATAGAACTTTATTTTTGGAATTGAGCTTTTTAAAAATGATTTCATATTTTAAAGTAGGCAATAAGTTTTGATACATCAAGATGAATATATATTTAGTGTAAATCTTTTTAAAAAAAGAACAACAAAGATTCAATAGTTTCTAATTAAATGGTTAAACTTGATTATTTATATGGAGATAACTTCAAAATTATAAATAAAAATGGAAACAGAGGGCCTTTAAAATAGCATTTATAACATAAGTTATAACATAATTTGGTTTTAGAGAAAAATGTAGGATAAAACACTTTTCTAGAAAAGTATGATGTCATTGCTTTATTATAAATAAAAATATGCCGGGCACTGGTGACTCATTCCTATAATCCTAGCTACTCAGGAGGCTGAGTTCTGAGGATCATGTTTTGAAGCCAGCCCAGGCAGGAAGGCCCATGACACTCTTATCTCTAATTGACCAAAAAAAGCTGGAAGTGGAGCTGTGGCTCAAGTGGAAGAGCACTAGCCCTGAGCAAAAAAAAACACACAAAACAACTCAAGGGGCAGTGCCTAGGCCCTGTATTCAAGCCCCAGGACTGGCACCAATAAAATAAAATACAAATAAAAAAGGAGCCTCTCCTGGGTACACAGTCTTGCTTAGGGCTGGCGGTGTACGGGAGTGAGCCTGGTCTTCTGAACCCCAGGGTCTGAGTCACAGGATCAAATGAGTCTCCGTCAGTCAAATGAAAAGAAAGCTTGGTGTTTTCTAAACTCTGATAGCTATGATTTTTTCATAGAAGTGATATTTAAACATCTACACAGCCAGGTGCTAGTGGCTCATGCCTATAATCCTAGGTACTCAGGAGGCTTGAGACTGGAGGATAGAGTCAAAGCCAGCTTGGGCAGGGGTCTGTGAGATTGTTATCTCCAATTAACTTACCCCTCCCCCCCAAAAAAAGCCAGAAGCAGAGCTGTGGCTCAAGTGGTAGAGCTCTAGCCCTGTGCAAATAAAAAGGTTAGGGACAGAGCCTAGGCACTGTGTTTAAGCCCCAGTACTGGCACAAAAAAGAATTAAAAAAAATAAAATAAAATTTTGCTTTCCAAAAATGACTTTTACATTCAATTGTACATAGTAAGCACATTTCCAAATGCATTGGCCCATATTAATATTACTTTGCTCTGGAGAAACTGAATTGGTATTGTATGGCTGTAACACACATCCAGAGATGCACACATGTATGTATAGGTGTGCATTTAGTATCGGCTATGCCCCAACTTCCCCAAGCCACAATCAATTCCTTTATTTTCAGCGGGAGCAATTCTTTGGGAGCACCCCGATCTGACACCATCTTGAAGGCTAGGAGCAAGTTTCCTCAACCTAGTGCTTTCCAAGCTACTTCCTGATTTATCTCCAGAACTTCACACAATTCTGCATGGCCATAATATGGGCATTGTTCTTCTGCTTGACAGATGAAGACACAGGAGCTCAGAGAGGTTAAACAACTTGCTATGGTTCACCCAACAAGACAGAAGTAGGACCTGACCTGGCGGTCCTGCTGGCCAAAACAGGGAGAGGGGGGGAAGGGCAGTGTGTGTGTGGGGGAGAGTGTACTGATCTATCCTTAAACCAAACTGATAGGAAGTCTAGTGACCATTGTCAGAAATTGCCTCCAGGAGCCGGTAGATCCCAGACAAGCTTAAACCAATGGCCAGAAGGTCTTTGGGATAAGTCTTTCAGAACGTTTATATGTATTTCAGAATGTTTATAACACATATTTACAGTTATTCCTATGTCACCAAGAGAACCACATTGAGAAGTAAGCTTAGTATTGGTGTTTTTAAATTAGAGCATTGTTCTATATAACCATTCCAACATACGATAGGCAACATATACATACAGTCTTGGCACAATTTATGTTCTGCAGGTGCACTGGCTCATTCCTACTACGGCTGGTTTGCAACTTCATTTGTACACATTTGTAATCTCCTTGAGGACGAATCCCGAGCTACAGTTCACTGCTGCTCAATGACTCTGACCCCGAGGGCTCAGCACAGCACTGTGCATGCAGCAGGCACTCAGACCATGTTTGTTGAATGCGTGCATGTGGTATGCCTTGATGCACTTCCATGAAAGTAGGCAGGATTCTACTTATAGCACTTTGCCTGAAAAGATTTGGGATTTATAATAATAATAATAATAATGACAGTAATAATAATGATAGTAATAATAACTCATCATAGTAAGCAGTATTTTGTAAAAGGCATAAGAAATGTGGTCACAAATTTAATACAAATTCTGCATTTAACTACTCTTTGGTTATCTCAACAAATTATTTGTTGGTTTTTTTTTTAATACGAAAGTGAGTCTAAAAAATATTTTTTAAAAATGTCACTACAGAAATTAGCTTAATCTGTAAACATAATCAACCCTGTAAACATGTATATACTACATATTTGTGCAAGTGTAAAGGCAGCGACAATACAATGATCTCAATTCTTCACTGGGTGTGCAAAAGCCGTTCTGTGAAGCTCTCTCATTGGAAGAACAAATTCTAACTACCCTACAAATTAAAACGCCAAGGCCTGCCCCATTGGGCACCCAGGCCTCAACCCTTTCCACCCACTGCAACAGCTCCTTATGATCCACTTTGGTAAAGCTGCAATATGAAAAAGTGCCAAATACGTTTAAAGTAAAGAAAGTGCTGGGCGCTGGGGCTCACGCTTGTAATCCCAGCTACTCAGACTGAGATGTGATGATTGTGGTTCAAAGCCAGCCCAGCCAGACAAATCCTAGCTCTAATTAACTAGCAAAAAGCTGTACTGGGGCTTTGGCTCAAGTGGTTAAGAGTGCCAGGCTTGAGTGAAGTGAGAGCCCAAGGTCCTGAGTTCAAGCTCCAGGACCAGTGTGAGCACATGGGTGCACGTGTGTTCACGTGTGCACACACACACACACGTGAGGAAAGTAAACACATTTTTTTGCAATAGGTAACATATTTTCCAAAAGTTCTTCCAAAAATCCCGGCAATAAGGGGCCCGCTAAGAATAAATACCGGCATTAACACTAAATACAACTAAACACCTTGGTGTTTCCTTAATATGAAAACAATTCCAAACTTCAGTTTTCCTTCTCAAAAAAAAAAATAAAAAAAGCATCCATTTTTTTTTTCACACATGACACTTATCACAGATACTTCACAGTTACATTTTCAGTAGTTAAAAAACGAACAACTGCCTAGCAAATACTGCAAGAAAAAAAAAAGAGGTAAATGTGAAGGAACAAACTCACTGTGTTAGGTTTTCAGGACTTCTAAATGGTAGCATGGAAACTCTTAAAGACAGAATGAACGCAGCCCTGGCTCTGAGAAAAAGAAAAGTGGTGGCAGAGTTGCCGTGCGTTTTCTTTCTAACCTTTTCTTTTTTTTCAGTGATTTTTCCTGTGCTATCTGGGGCAGACACGGTGGCTAAGTGTTTAGGTTTTGTTTTCCCCAGACACATTTAAGATACGTTTTTGCTTATGAAAACGGGGGGGGGGGGAAATAAAAGACACCATGGCTTGTTTGGTTTAATCAACTCCATCAAAACCCTGAGTGTTTTCGATTGCCATCTGCAGTTTATCCCATAATTCTTCAAATGATCCATAGGGTGGCAGGTCCAAGCGATTGAAGCTGAAAAGAAGATGGATGGAAGCCGGTTAGGAAAAGACACGGACAAACACAAAAGTTGGCACAGGAAAACACAGCCAGATGGCTGTCACTTGAGGATCGTGAGACTCTTATCTCCAATGAAACGGCGTGAACGGGAGGAACTCTGGGGACGCTGATCTAGCGAGGGTTTAGCATCGCTCACCAGGTGTGCGCTCTGGGCAGCTTCTCCGGAGCACCCCACTGCTCTACCGTAAACGACTGTGGTCCATTTGAGCCTGCAAGGAACAAGAGTTTCTTGGTGTCGTGTAGTCTCACCAGGAACATTCAACACCCGTGTAGAAGCTACATGATCATAGGAATAATCCAACCCAGAAGAAATGCAGCCTGCCCTCTGCCAGCCATGCCTGTTAAACCATACTTCTTTGCCATCTAATCTGTGAGCGCCCAGGAATACCTTTAGGTGTTGCATGAATGTCGCCTGTTTTACAGCTCTGAACACCACTGCACAGTTACGTGTGAGTTTCTTCACAAGTATACAGGGAAAATGGGTGTTCTCAGAATTTTTTTTTTGTTTGTTTTCGTACTGGTCCTAGGGCTTGAATTGAAGGGCCTGGGTGCTGTCACTGAGTGAGCTTTTGTGCTCAGGGCTAGTGCTCTGTCATTGGAGCCACAGCTCCACTTCTAGTTTCTGTTAGCTGGAGATAAGAGTCTCATGGACTTTCCTGCCTGGGCTGGATTACAACCATAAACCTTAGATCTCAGCCTCCTTAGTAGCCAGGATTATAGCTATGACCCACCAGGATCATATACTTTTTTTCTTTTATTATGAATACGTTCTTTTCTTTTATCATGAATAATTTTAGAAACTTTTCGCTCTTCGGTATTCATAGTTCTTTGTTTCTTTTCGTCCTTTCTTCCCTCCTGCCCTTCCTTACTGAGTTCTTGCCAGTACCAGGGCTTGAACTGGACTTTTACTTCCATTTTTCACTCAAAGATGGTACTATACCACTTAAGCCACAGCTTCACTTCCAGATTTTTGCTAGTTAATTGGAGATAAGAGTTGTTCACCTTGCTCTGCCCAAGGTGGCTTTGAATCACGATCCTCAGATCTTTGCCATCTGAGAAGCTACTTTTACAGGTGTGAGCCAAGAGTGCCCAGGTCACTTTTGTTTTGTTTGGAAAAGGGTATCACTACATAGATGAGGTTAGCCTTGAACTTACAATTTGCTTGATTATACCTCCCATGAGCTGAGATTAAAAGTGTGTCACCATGCCCAATAATTCTTGGGTTTTTTTTTTGTTTGTTTTGTTTTTTTGTCGGTTGTTGGGCTTGAACTCTGGGCCTGGGCGCTATCCCTGAGCTCTTCAGCTCAAGGCTAGTGCTCTACCACTTGAGCCACAGAGCCACTTCTGGTTTTCTGAGTGGTTTATTGGAAATAAAGAGTCTCATGGACTTTTCTGCCCAGGCTGGCTTTGAACTGCGATCCTCAGATCTCAGCCTCCTGGGTAGCTAGGATTACAGGCATGAGCCACCGGTGCCTGGGTAGATGACAGAAATCTGAAGACAAATTAGTCATGAAAAGACAGTTGGCATGGGTCCATTTTTTTTCATGATCCATGGAAAATCCTTACCATAGAGTTCAGCAAATCCATTCATAGGCACACGGGACGTGCCGGTGACAAACTGGAGCAATCTTATTCTTTTTTCTGAGTCCATCATTAAGACTGCCTGATAGAAAGTCAAAACTTCGTTTAGGAAACAATACTTGGGGAGAAAAAAAAAAACTATACCAAAAATATGCTGCAAAAATTGAATTGTAGCATTAATTACCACTGACTAAATTTGCATGCTATTTTAATTAAACCTGTCTTCTTGAAAGTCTATCTCAAAGGCTTCATGGAAACTTTTGTTTTTTTGTGTGCTATCAGTGGAGCTTGAACTCACCGTTTTGGTACTGTCACTCAAGGCTAGTGCTCTACCACGTGAGCTATAGCTCCAACTCTGGCTTTTTAGTGGTTTAATTGGAGATAAGAGCCTCACAGATTTTTCCACTTGAGCTAGCTTCAAACCTCGATCCTCAGGTTTCAGCCTCCTGATGTAGCTGGGATTACAGGCATGAACCCACTAGTGCTTAGCTCTATGTGCCAGTCCTGGGGCTTGAACTCAGGGCCTAGGCACTGTCTCTGAGCTTCTTTTGCTCAAGCTTGAGGAAAAGCTCCATTTTCAGCTTTTTTGGTGGTTTATTGGACATCAGAGTTTCACAGACTTTCCTGACTGGACTGGATTCAAATCATAATCCTCAGAGCTCAGACTCCTGAGTAGCTAGGATTACAAGTGTGAGCTACCAGTGCCCGGTCTATGGTAACTCTTTAGAATGTAATTATACCCTAACAAAGTAGACTTTTCTTTTAAGATGTAACTTATAGCTTTTTAAAAATTACACTGAGGGGATGGGAAGGTAGCTTAGCGGTAGAGTGCTTGCCTAATATACATGAAGCCCTGGGTTCCATTCCTCAGTACCACATACACAGAAAAAGCCGGAAGTAGAGCTCTGGCTCAAGCAGTAAGAGTGCTAACCTTGAGCAAAAGCAGCTCAGGGACAATACCCAGCCCTGAGATTAAGCCCCAGGACTGGAAAAAAATTACATTAATTGAACTTACTGAACAGCATACATATTTACAGGAAAATTGGAAGAAGCCATTAAAGACGGAGAATCTCTACTTCAGTTGGAACTAAAGGCAGATTTATGTATGACAGCCATGATTACTTTGTCAATGCCTTCTGAACACATTGCTCGCTATCTTTAATACGTATGGAGGATGGGGCCTGTGTCCAGAGAAGTGTGCCAAGTTCAACAACAGAGGTACATTTCTCTGAATTATCTACAAATAAGTCACTAGGATGGTTCATCAAAAGTTGATGTATAGGGGCTGGGAAGTTGGCTCAGTGGTAGAGCACTTGCCTTGCATGCCTGAGGTCCTGGGTTCGATTCCTCAGCATCACATAAGCAAAAAGAAAAAAGCCAGAAGTGGTGCTGTGGCTCAAGTGGTGGGGCACTAGCTTTGAGCTGAAGAGCTGAGGGACAGCGCTCAAGCCCAGAGTTCAGGCCCCACAACCGGACCAATAAAAAAAAAAAAAGTTGATGTATAGCTAGACACCAGTAGCTCACACCTGTAATCCTAGTTTCTCAGGAGACTAGATCTGAGGATCATGGTTTGAAAGCAGCCTGGGCAGGAAAGTCCCTGAGACTTTTTTTTTGCCAGTTCTGGGGCTAGAACTCAGGGCTTGAGCACTGTCCCTGAGCTTCATTTCTGCTCAAGATTAGTACTCTACCACTTGAACCACAGCGAAACTTCTGGCTTTTTTTTTTTTTTCTGTTTATGTGGTATTGAGGAATCAAACCCAGGGCTTCATGCATCCTAGGCAAGCACTCTACCACTGTAAGGCACATTCCCACCCTCCATGAGACTCTTATATCCAATTAACCACCAAACATATCACAAGTGGAAGCCGGGCGCCTGTGGCTCACACCTGTAATCCTAGCTACTCAGGAGGCTGAGATCTGAGGACTGCGGTTCAAAGCCAGCCTGGGCACCAAAATCTGTGAGACTCTTAACTCCAATAAACCATCAGAAAACATGGTACGGTGCTGTGGCTCAAGTTGATAGAGTGCTAGCCTTGAGCTGAAGAGCTCAGGGACAGTGCCCAGGCCCAGAGTTTAAGCATAACCGGAAAAAAAAAAAAATCACAAGTAGAGCTGTGGCTCCAAGTGGTAGAATGTTAGCCTTGAGCAAAAGAGCTCAAGGAGGGAAAAATGGGGAAAGAACAAGGGAAGAAGTGACACTGTCCAAAAAGAAATGTATTCTTTACTTGCCTCATGTAACTGTAACCCCTGTGTACAACACCTTTATCACAACATTAAAAAATTAAAAAAAAAAAAAAACAAATTCAGGGACAGTAGCCAGGCCCTGAGTTCAAGCCCCAGGACTGGCGCGCGCACACACACACACACACACACACACACACACACACACACACACACACACACACACACACACACACACACACACACCCTACATACATACAAATAGTTGGCATGCATATGATTTGATTTCACTCTGAGGAAGTGAGGAAATTTTCCCTTACCTTCCAGAACCACTGGATGACTTGGTGATTGGCACAGTAGCCATTTTTATACTTGGTGTGTTCTCTCCAGTCATTCACATCGACGTCTCCCAATCCACACATAAGGAGCTACAGTGGACACACACACAGGAAGGTTGGAAGCCAGGAGAATCACCGGTTCAAAACCACATTAGTCTACAAACAGTGCTTCTTACCTCCAGCTCATTTTCATCAAAAATTTTGATGAGATCCTGTGGTATTAGTTCAAAAAACCCCTAGTAGAATAAAAGAAGTATTAAAAAATTTGGCTAGCGGGTTCAAGGGACTGTGATACAGTTCCTCCACATCAACCACACGGGCTGTTCATGGAGCTCTCCATTTTACCAAGGAAATGGCTCCAGTCCTCAAAGTGGCTATTATAAAACATCCACATAAAGGTGGATGTTCACTGATCATGCCATGAGGCTGAGATCTGGAGGATCACAATTTGAGGCCAACCAAGGCAGAGAAGTCCATGAAACTCTGCCTCCAAATTAACAAGCAAAAAGCTGAGCTGGAGGTGTGGTTCAAATGGTAGAACACCAGCTCTGAGCAAGCAAGGGCAGCAAGTGTGAAGCCCTGAGTGCAAACTCCAATACTACTAAAACTAATAAATTAAATCTAAGTATAGATGTATGGTGTGTGTGCGTGTGTGTGTGGTCAATGTTCATTGCTTAAGACTTGATACTGAGATTTAACTCAGGGCCTCACACTTGCTAGGCAGGCATTCTACTGCTTAAGCTATGAACCCACCTTATTCTGAATAACTGCAATTAAATAATGAACATCTATTTATGGAATTTGTTTTTAATATAAAAATATATGTTGCGTGGTTTAATCAAGCAAGCCATATACCTATCTTTTGGAGCTACAAGGAAGCCCAGTACTGGAAACTTATGGACTGCACGAAACTGTAGAAGAACATGAGGAAGAAAATAAAAGAAAATAAATACCTCTTTAAAAGCAGACATCTGCTTCTGGATTCGGTTGACAAACCGCCATTGTATTACAAGGCTAAACACAAGACAGAAAAAAATCCCACATTTGGATATTTTACATATGAACCAAGGAAAACAAATCGCAAGACATCTTTATTCTACTTAGAAACGGAACATAAAGATGAGCTAGGAAGTGGCGTTGTAGCTCAAGTGGTAGAGTGCTTGCCTTGAGCTGAGGGACAGTCCCAGGCCCAGAGTTCAAGCCCCAGAGCCAATAATAAACAATAAAAAAAGACAGGTTATATATTATATGTAACCAATACTATTACTATTTAATAGTATGCAAATACATGCAAATGCATGAGAATATATATAAATACATATGGTACTAGCAATTGAATTCAGGGTTCCGGGCTTTGCTATGCACTGCATTTTCCATGAGAAAAAGAGCTTTGGGCTTCTGGGGATGGAGAAAGAAAAAGAAAGAAAAATCCCAGAAGAAAGTACAAAATTATTTTGAGGAAAATGCTTAGGTAATAAAATACTCACTAAATATATTCCTTTTTGTTCTTATTGGTGACCACGATTTCTGATCCTCCATTTTTCAACTCATGTTGATGTGTCTGAAATTAAACATGATACCTGGATATGTTATTTTAGGGAGAACACATTGAAAAAGTATACAGATGATAGCTATGCCAGGGCCCGGTGTTTTAAATCAAATCCACTCAAAAACCAAACACTAAGAAAACCTAAATATTAGTTTTACTAAAATAAACACGGAATGAGTCAAATGTTAAAGACGACACTAAGTCGGACTGAGAGACTGCCTTTGTAGTTGGAAAACAAATGTAAAAATAGAGCCCAGAAATGTGACTGAGTGTGCACATTCATACCTAAACTTAGCTTATGTTTATTTCATAAATTCTTTTTGTGTATGTGTGTGTGCCAGGTCTGGACACTGTTCCTTAGTGTTTTTGTTTTTTTTTTTTTGCTCAAGGCTGGTGTTCTACCACTTGAGCCACACCCCCTACTTCTGGTTTTTTGGTGGCTAATTGGAGATAAGAGTCTCATGAATCTTCCTGCCTGGACTGGCTTCGAACCCTGCTATTAAGATTTCAGCCTCCTGATAGTAAGGATTATAGCTGTGAGCCACCAGTGGCTGGCTGTATTTCACAAATCCTGTAGCATTTGGAAATTCACAAACCTGTCCAAAAAGTTCTTCATCGATGATGAACCTGAGGTCCAATTCTGTTGGATCATTTTCAAGAATCCATCTTAGCGAATTATAATATTCACCATCCTGGAAAGGGAAAATCGTATTTTTAAAATTCGTATCTAGAGACCCCCTGAACTTACATAAGAGGTTATTTTGAGAATCTGAGTAACTAGAGCAAAATAGAAGCACTAGCTGAACAGCTTTTCCATATGCATCTACACATATTACATATATAAGTAGATAATAGCTAAGTACATAAGTAAAACTGGCTGGCTACAGAGGCTCAAACCTGTAATCCCAGCTCTGTAGGAGGCAGAGATCAACAGGATCATGGTTCTGAGGCCATTCTGGGTCTCAAGAAAAATCCCCATGTGGCTTAGGAGTATATATACAAGCCCTGGGCTTGTGGTCCAGCATTGCAAAAACACGAACAGGCGGCAACAACAACAACAAATCCTAATTCTGCACACTGTGTGGTTGCCTGCTTGAATCATGCTGTAAGTGGAATCAACGTACCACTGACTCCATGTCATGAAGAGTTATCGGTTTCTGTAGCATCATCTTGTAAAACGGGCGGATGAAGAAACCTTGCCAGGGAGGAAACACATGAAAAACAGTCACCCAAGGAGAGGACACAGACAATGACTGACATCGGAAACCTTTTACAGTTTGACACTCACCATCCAAGAGTTTGCCATGATAAACAGCCATGCCGGCGACTCGACCGATGAACTTGAAGTAAGAGAGGTGATCTTCATTACACAGGCCAGAATTGGGGTTTATCTGTAGGGTGTAATTGTCCCTGTAAAGACAACAACATTGAAGTACAACTTGGGAACATCCATCCATCCATCCATCCATCCATCCATCATTTTTTTCTGTAGGTCATGGGGCTTGAACTCTAGGCCTGGGTGACTGTCCCTGAGCTCTTTTGTTCAAGGCTAGTGCCCTACCACTTTGAGCCACAGTGCCACTTTTCCGTGATTAATTGGGAGATAAGAGTTTTACTTAGTCTAAAGACCCTACCTCAAAACAAACAAACAACAACAACAACAAAAACCCCAACTTGGGGTATGGTAGCAGGTGTGGGTAATCCCAGCACTCAAGAGAAGGATTGTTGAGTTCAAGGCCAGCCGGGGCTACTTAGCAAAACTCTCATCTCAGAAAGTAAGAAAAGGTACTTACGTAGCAGAGTATTCAAATAACCCATAGTAGGGGTTAAACATTTCCTTTGAGATGAGGAAGAACCATTCTCTGGCCACTCCTCCGTAGTCTAAGCCCTTTTCACCATCAAACTCGATCCAAAGCCGAGCCTTGAGGAGGTCGGTTCTCTTGACACTCATCACTCTCCGGTAGGACTCTTCTAGAACAGTCGTTCGGCGAAGCTTCATTTCAAATTTGTTTGGAATGTCATTCTGCAGAGTCAGGAAAAGAGAGACCCAGACGTTCAATCAAGTTAGCGTAAACGACGAGTTTATAGGGAAGTCTTGACATGTGCTGAGCATCCTCCTCTACCCTTGTCTCTTGTTCTCTCTCTTTATTGAGTGTGTGTGTGTGTGTGTGCGCGTGCTAGAACTAGGGCTTGAACTCAGGGCCTAGATGCTATTCCTTACGTTAAAAAAAATAGTTTACTGTTATTTAGAGCTGATGTACAGAGAGATTACAATGACATGAGTTAGACCGTGAGTACATTTCCATGGAATGCCTTCTTTTCCCTCACTCTCTCCTAGTCCCTCCTTCCTGTCTCTACTACGTGTTGTGTAGTTCACATTCATCAATGTCCAGTGAGCTTCACTGCTACACTTTTTTTCCCCTTTAGTTTTTGGTTGTTGTTGTTTTTTTTCTGCTCAATGATAGAGCTCTACTGCTTTTGAGCCTCTGCTTCACTTCTGGCTTTTCAGGCGGTGAACTAGGGCTATGAGTCTCTTGGTTGTGTCTACCCAGGCTGGCTTTGAACTTCAATCCTCAGATACCAGCCCTTGAGTAGTTAGGATTATAGGCATGAATCACCAGCATCTAGTTGATGCACTCATGCATTTTTTTTGTTTTGTTTTTGTCGGTTGTGGGGGCCTGGGCACTGTCACTCAACTCTTCAGCTCAAGGCTAGCTAGCGCTCTACCACTTGAGCCACAGCGCCACTTCCAGCTTTTTCTGCTTATGTGGTGCTGAGGAATCGAACCAGAGCCTCATGTATGCAAGGCAAGCACTCTACCACTGAGCCACCTTCCCAGCCCCGATGCACTCACTCTTTGAGAAAAGTATATAATTTTATTAGTGCATCAACAATGTGAATTAAAAAAAAATGACTGTGTTTCATTTTGTTTAAATTTTGGATGAAAAAAAAAATGGTATCCGACTTGCCATCTTGAATCCTTGGAAAAGCAGTCCTTAGGTTCAGAACCTAAGGAAGTGTAACCCAATGCGGCCACCTAGTGGTAGCGTCCCTAAACTGCAAGGAGGGAGGGCCAGAAAATGAGCAGAGGAGGAAGGTATTGAAAATATTGGTCAAGACCAACAGAAACCAAAGAGATGAGTGAATGACCTATTTCACCTCAAGCCAACTGAAGTTGTGGTGCTGGGGAAGGTGTACCGAACACACTGAATATACATATGGAGGACCATCTGTTAAAAGCTCCATTCCGTGCGTGCGTGCGTGCATGCGTGTGTGCGCGCACGTGTGTGTGTGTGTATGCATCAGTATTACCACTTGAACTAAGGGCCTCCCACTTTCCCTCAGCTATTTTCCCCCAAGGCTAGGACTCTACCACTTGAGCCTGGGCTGGATTCAAACCAGGATCCTCAGATCTGAGCCTCCTGAATAGCTAGGATCACAGACACGAGCCACCAGCTCCTGGCTGAAAAGTCATCTTTTATTTCCTGTGGATATAATGATCATCCTTAATTTTTATTACAAATATCACTAACCTGCTTCTTCAACTTTCTTCGGAAGAATTCATACTTTCTTTTGTAATCTCTGGAGTAAGGCACTGCCTGTGGATGAATAAATAAGGTTTAGATTACTTGGATTCTGGAAGTACTTTAGAAGTTTCCCTGTAGGTATTTTATGAATGTAAGTTAAAAACACTAAAAAGAGAAATATTTGGAAACTAAAAGTTTCATTTGAAATTAAACAAATATAATAAAATTCTAATTTTTAAAAATAATTTCTCCATTGAAGACCAAATTGTACTCAGAAATTCCTCTGGCTGTAACTTTCATCATATAATCGTTTTGAAATGTGACATGCCAGAAACAGGACATTTCTTCCAAGTAGAGAAATATTAGAAATAAAAATTTCCATTACTATAAAAGTCTTTCAAAGTAATTCCTCCATTAAAGGAACAATTTGAAAAATGCATTTTTTCCCTTGAACTCCTAGGAGTTACTTTTTTTTTAACCTACCATTTTCAAAGACTACCCTCTGAGAAACGTAGAAGTCTTAAAAAAAAAAACATGTGCTCAGTTTTATTATTATTATTTTTTTGTGCTAGTACTGGGGCTTGAACTCAGGGCCTGACCATTGTCCCTGAGGTTTTTCAGTCAAAGCTTGTGCTCTTCCACTTGAGCCATAACACCACTTCTAGCTTTCTAGTGGTTAACTGGAGATAAAGAGTCTCATGGGCTTTTCTGCCTGGGCTGGTTTTGAACACGTTCAAAACGGTGACTCTCAGATTTCAGCTTCATAAATAGCTAGGATTACAGGTATACACCACTGGTGCCCACCTTAATTTTATTCCATTTTTTTTTGTGAATTAGAAAACAAAAATCCACATTTTAAAAAAATGGGACAAATTACTTCTAGAAGAGAGGAAAAAAGCTTTTCCTATCATTAACTTGACTCAGAAGTAATATAACCATCCTACTTACTATGATAATCATTACATTTCAACATGGTGGTGCTTAATGCAATAGGCCTTTCCAAGGGTTGCTTCTGTTCACCGGTGACTGATAGCATGGTGTTGCTTCCTCATCTGGATGCACCCTTACCTCCTTTCCTGTATGTTCAGGACTCTGGGCATTGCCCTCTCCCCTCCCCTGCAGGGTAGCAGGGATCAGCCTGAGATAGCTCACCAGGCCACTGGCCCAAAATTTGGATAGCATGGTTCACTTATCACCCATGGTTCGGGGGATGGTAAGGATGATGGAGGATGATTTCCTGTTGTCTTATCAAGTAACTGGGGCAGGGAAAAGGGCAGTAGAGAGAGAGGAGATGGCCCAGCGTGCCTTCTACTCAGTGCTCGTGAGTGTTCGCATCTGAACAGGAATGACAGGACAGGGCAATGCCAGGGAAGGGCACTGACCCAGACAAACTTACTGGTCCAGTAATTGCAACATGCTCCAAGCGAGGGTCTTCCCACTGGGTTCTTTTTATATCTGAAAGGAAGAAAAACAAACAAGCTAGTCATGCTTTCTCACACGCAAAGTTTTATAACACAAAAAATAATGTCATAAGGGGCAGTGGTAGAGTGCTTGCCTTGCATGCATAAGGCCCTGGGTTCGATTCCTCAGCACCACATAACCAGAAAAAGCCCAAAGTGGCGCTGTGGCTCAGTGGTAGAGCACTAGCCTTGAGCTGAATTGTTCAGGGACAGCACCTAGGCCCCAGAGGTCAAGCCCCATGACCGCAAAAAAAAAAAAAAAGTCATAAAAGCTGGATGCTGGTGGTTCATGCCTATAATCCTACCTACTCAGGATACTGAGATCTGAGAATCATGGTTCAAAGCCAGCCCAGGCAGGAAAAGTCCATGAGCCTCTCATCTCCAATTAATCACCAGAAAACCAGAAGTGGAGCTATGGCTTAAAGTGAGAGACCCCTAGCAAAAAATGCTCAGGGACAGCAACCAGGACTTGAATTCATTCTTTTTTTTTTGGTCGATCATGGGGCTTGAACTCTGGGCCTGGGCACTGTCCCTCAGCTCTTCAGCTCAAGGCGAGTGCTCTACCACTTGAGCCACAGCACCACTTCTGGCTTTTTCTACTACCATGGTGCTGAGGAATCGAACCCAGGGCTTCATGCATGCAAGGCAAGCACTCTACCGCTGAGCCACCTTCCCAGCCCCCCAGGACTTGAATTCAAGCCCCACAACTGACTAAAAAGAAAGGAAGTTATAGAAACATACTGTGATTTATGTAGAAGATCCTTCCATCTGTGTGGGTTCTTTCTTCCCATCCTGGCTAGAATGACAAATATATTTCAATTATTTTTAGGACAGGACTTTAGAGGTCCAGAAGAAAAAAAAGTAACATTAGTTAGGGCTCCTTTAATTGGTTGAATTTCATTTGCCTTCTTGGTAGAAGGCATGGATAGTTTAACAATATGAATTATAGCTGTTAAAGAAGTACTGAATTCCCAGAGTAGGAAATGTCTGAGATAGTCATGGTGGATTGGGAACAGTTCTGTGCACTTACAGGTAAAGGTCCTAGATCCTTAGGTGGGTCCAGTGAAGATTTTCCTCTCAGATGAGCTGGGATTTTCAATCTTGGATCTTCCTTTTTTTGGTTTAGTTAACAACAACAAAAAAGAAAAAATAGAATATCATATACACAAAAAAAGAATGCAAATCAATATGCTCAAGGTTTTCTTTCTTTCTTTCTTTTTTTGTCCAGTCGTGGGGTCTGAACTCTGGGCCTGGGCGCTGTCCCTCAGCTCTTCAGCTCAAGGCTAGCGCTCTACCACTTGAGCCACAGCACCACTTCCAGCTTTTTTCTTTTTGC